AACGATTCACACGTGATGGAGTAAGTGGTGAGTCTCCAAGTTCACCACCGAATGGTAGCCTGGACCCGGATATCTTCATGACTCCTGCAACAACAATATCAGCATATGACATCAGAAAGGTAACTGCAGTTTTATAACAATCTTTAAATGCATTTGTTTACGATGCAATGCAGAAAAAGGCCGCCGATTTGGAACGTCTACGAACGGAGTCTCGATTGAAGGCCAAGTTGAAGACTGATGAAGAGCTCGGACTCGGTGGGTGATTCCCTTATAACACCCCATTTTTCCTAATAAATGCTCCATGAATCAGTACATTCCAGAGGGTGCGAGAGGAGAACGAAGGTCGATGCCAGTGGTTGATGTTTCGGCACCTTTATCAATCCGTTCTATTGCTGCATCACAAGATGATCATTTGGCAAAGGTATGAAGAAAACGAGTTGTAATTTGAGTTCTATGGATGGTAGAGCTCTCCCTCCAACAGATTTGTGGCTAACACGAGCCTAGCTTAAGCTATTAATGAAGCTGGTTCTTTTATAGGAACAGCTCAAGGAAAAGGCGGACCATCTTCCTGAAGCGCAACAAGCGACTCATGCGACTGGTTTGCTGTCACGCTTGTTCACTACAGAGACAGAAGGAAAGAGTCAGGTAAGTGCATGTTTTTTTGCTAGAAGAATTATTCTGAAGGAAGTTCACGTGCGTTCATTGCAGCCAATGAGTCGTTTCAACGCGAATGATGTGGTACATTCTGAGAGCCGCAAAGAAACTAACATCCTTGCTAACTCATTGCGACGTTTCAAAATGAGGCGCGCTGAAGTCCACTCAAGAGGTATGCTTGGAATTGACTGTTGAAAACAATGGTGACTTTTACTAAGACCCCCTTCAAAATGAGTTACGGAATGTTTTGCCAAGATAATTACGGAAGTGGAGCGTCAGGCAGCGTTCAGAGCTCGCGACAGCGGAGCTTTGGCCGCGCGTTCGACTCGATCGATGTGCATGCTTTCGACGGCGTCGATCGCGTCTGCAGTCGCGAAGTCTGAACTCTGCCTTCACTCCCGAGTCGCGGTTTTTTTGTTTATG